AAGGGACACGACGGGGCACGGCTTGGCTCTCCGCACAGATGCACATGCACGTAATAAAGGACGTCTACAGAACCACTTCATGCCTTGGAAAAGAAAAAAATTCATTCCTGATTAACCTCTGCTGTCTACTCTTCCTCCCTTCGCAAATTAGATTTTAGCGCAACTTGTAAATCGGGGTGGTTTTCCTTGAAAATACACCCTGGCCAAAATTTAAAAAAAAAAAAGAAAAAGAAAAAAGAAAACTTGTCTAAGACTGAAAATTGGTAGTGGTAACCCCCACACTAAAGCATACTTCCAATTTAGATTTTGAAAGTACTACTATATTCCAGTTTCTGCTAAAATGTCTATTTTTAAAATACATTTCCTCTTAAAAAGATAAAATGCTGCTTCTGCTAATGTGAAGCTTTTTAGAAACAGACAATCAGCAACACTCAAATACTCTCAAAAGTGGAAGCGCATAAATTAACTTTCTTCCGAGTTTCAGAAACTGAAGAGTGACTTTTAACTACGGGTATAACATTTCAAGAAACACAGGCAGCTTTCCATAAACCTAGAGAAGCCAAGGATAAGAGAAACACAACATGTTTGGCTTACAGGTGCCAATCCACTTGTCTTCCCAATTTCAAAGCGTGAAGTATTTTCATGACATTTTCTGGTGGCTACCAAACGTGGCGCAGACCCTGTAACACTGACTTCCAGAAAGTTTTCTCTCAAAACCATAGCAGGTAAAACCCCCCAACAACCTGCAAGGATCTTGATGCAGCAATTGCTGAGACAATCTAGTCTTCAAGATAAATAGGGGGTAGCGTGGCAGAGTAAGAGTTGGCATCTGTAACAAGGAGATAAGCCCTTCAAGACAAGTTCTGACCCCAGTCATGTGAACATGGCAAGGGTTACCTTGCAAGTTGTCACAAGCAGGTTTCAAATTCGTATTAAGAGTCAGAGTTTGCCTGCCCACACACACGCTTATCTCTGGTTTGCAAAGCTCCCGGCAATCGCTCAATTTTCTCAGGGCAAGTATTCGGCCGGACGTGTCAGCGTTCCTCCTCCTTCCAGCGATGCACCTTGCGGTGTTCCTCCTCCCTTCAGCGATGCACCCTGCGGCTCGCAGCATGACTTGTCGCCTGGTTCAAACCCCGGCTTCCCTCAGCGCTGGCAGCCCCAGAGCAGCCCATTACGGATCAAAAAGTTCAGAAATATGGAAACGAGTAGCTGTGACAAACTGGGTCAAAGTAAAAATTCAGCATTACTGTTACTGATGGGCTTCCTTCCACAGGCATAAACCAGCGTGTGTAGTAACCGTCTGCTGTGAACCAGAAACTTCACACCAAGTGATGTAAGTGCACAGGCATCGAGGAGATGCCGTGAGCTCCACTGCTGCAGCCAATTTTCCAAGGAAATCTAGGAATGGATTTTTCACTTTTATCTGCATTGGCCTCCAGCCTCTGAATGAAACACACTTGGGCTAGGTCTGTCCAATCTTGGCCTTAGACTTACATTCTTCTCCAAGATGCCAAAATACGTGAGTACTATCTGTCTTCAGTCTGAAACACTCTGCATTGTGCAAACTCAGCATTACTAAAAGCCTCCAACCCCACATTTCTTTAATCAAAACCAGATGTTGGGCTAGTCCCTAACAAAAACTCCATCTTTAGCAATTACAAGGCATACAGTGACCCCTGCTTGCTAGTTACTCCAACTGTTTGCAAAGACCTTGTCCCAACTCTCTTTCATTGGCTTCATCAATGCCAGAGGGACCCGTTACCAGGCAGCGACAGCCCGTGTGAGCAGGCCTGGGAAGGACTCCTCTTCATTAATAAAGTTTTGCTCCGAAGCACCAAAAGTTGCATTATCACTTATCACAGCTATACTGCTTCAGACCTGCTGAGTGTGCCAACCAGTGCCAAAATGCAAGACGACAAAACCCCAGCTACATGAGACTATTTCTATAGGATTGGTTGAACCGGAAAGCTCCGAGTTCCGGCTAAGAGGTCATAACTGAACCATCTGCAGAAAATACAGGCAAGCAAATATACAGACATCAGTAGATGGAGACAAGTGGTATCACGTGGAAGTGAGCAGACACATTCACTTTTTCTGTGAATAGGCAATTACGACAAAGGTAGTAGTCAAGTTCATTGGTCAGCATTTAAGTGTAGAGCCCTTCAAGATAATTTAAAGCAGAACAAAGGAACATTGCCCATACTCTCTGTGCCGAAGACGGGTATTTTGCTCTGTAACCCCTCCCGAGCCAAGACCTCTGGACACCAGATATCTGGTCCTTCTCCAGCATCAGCTTTTTGTGCCTTTCTAACTGAGAGATGCCACAACACCAGCAGTCTCTGAGCTCTCCCACCAGGTTCTTAGATGTAGGTCAACACAATGCTACCTTGGAACTGCAAATCCCACTTTGAGAGCAACATCTTTGTTCTTCACGACAATGACAAGCGCCACCAAGGCCAAGAGCATAGCATCTGTCCATATTAGTCTGAGAACCATTCGTCTTTGGAGTCAATGCTGAACTCCATGGCAGTCAGCTTGCAAGTCCATACTGGAGAACACAGTATTTAGTCTAAACAGTCAAGCAATAAATGAAAATTTTGAACCGTGGAGAGAGAAAACGGTCCTATAGCTTTAAGTTTATTAGACCTAGCATGGTTGGAAAGCAAAAGACGAAAAACATGATATATTTTTGTTTATTATTGCTCTTAAAGGGCTTGGTAGTCAAATATACAAGCTATGTTCTATTAAACCAGAAGAAAATAAGATATAAAATCTATGCTTACTTTTCCAATCCAAGCCACCTGCTAATCTTCATTAGTGACATTAACTTCAGCTATTTCCAGTCATTTTAATTTATACATACTCCGTGTACGTGTGCACGCACGTGTGTATAAAAACCCCTAATTGAGGAGATAAAATTTAAAATTAAGAGATCTGTAGTGGTTTTGTACTGTTTTGTGCACTGCTGTATATTTCAGTTTTCCCAATGGTTACTGATATGCCTGTTTAGAAGAGCAAAATTTAAGTAACTGATGATGTATTTATTATATTTTCAAAAAGAAAGCATGACCAGTAAGTTATGATAAGAAAATATGAAATGTTGATTATTCTCCCCTTGATGTACATGCACTAATCCCGTGATTCCTAATAGGGAGTTACATGCACTAAGAGGAGAAAGGATCCCGTAAAGAGAAAGGCTATTAATTCCCTTCTCCTTTTAGCATCTCCCCTCTTCTCAGCAATAAGAAGGGATTTATTTTGTGAAATTCTTGTCATGCCCATTAATATACTGCTCAAAATATAAGTATAAAACATAGTCAATGGTCAGCCTGCTTTGCAAGCCTCACTCAACTAAGCCAGTACATTTTATATATACTCAATATCATCTTCAGGAAGCAAGTATACAGCATTTGTAACATCTTTCTAAGAAGCAAGAATTATATCCATTACTGAATTAAGAGAAAAAAAAAAAAAAAAAGAGAGAAAGAAAAGCCCACTGCTTTTAGTCCTCCGGTTAAAAAAACAGGGAAAAGTCAGAGTTGTCTTTATCAGCATTTGGAAGCCTAACCATATTTAAAGACAGAGTACAAAAACATCCAGCAAGGAAAATCAGAGTCATGGCTAGGTTCTCTTCTCCTCAATTCCCAAAGCATATTCCAAATTTCACTAACATTAACAACAGTTTTGCATCCCCTATCTTAGGGAAGATTTATTGAGGGGACAAAGATGACGTACTAATGCTGGGGCTATGGGTAGAAATGAGTCAGTGAGGATGAATCTAACAGGAGACAGACAACGTAGGTCATCCTTCAAATCCTCTTCTTGAAAAGACCACAAATAAAAATCAAGTGCATGACAGAACAGTGATTAATGACCCCAAGTAAAACATTTTTCAAAGTTACAAAATTGCTCTTCCAGTGTCTGAAAACAGAAAAACTTGTGGGAGATTACATTCCAACAATTAGAGTAAATACTAAAAGAAGGTAAATTATTACTTTCTTATCTTGATTCCTAGAACAAAGATGAAAATAACAACCAGTGCTTTGATAAAATCTGCCCTTTACAAAAGTGAGACAAATATTCTAGTGGCAGCTGGGTTAAAAATACAGACCCCGAGGGTCACCTTCTGTCCTCAGCTTAGATCTGCAACCCATTTTATTTTACCAACTTCTGAGTGTAACCAAATGCAGACTGTGGCCTTCAGGCTTGAGCATACAGGTAGTTCCCATCTGTTTGCAAATAATTCTCCAGCTATGCATACAGCAGCAATCTACAAAAACCTCAGAATGTGCATTTGTAAAAAAGAAAAAAAGAAGGTAAGAGGAAAAAAAAAATTGAGACAGGTACAGCCATGATTCTGATCTCTAATCTTCAGTGAAAAAAAAACAACCAACAAACCAAAACCCAAAGGTCAACAAGCAAAACTAAAGATATTAAAAATCCCTGAAGACACCTCATACTCTTTCTAATGCTTAACAGCACAGCTCACCTTGCAATATATTTCACATTAACACCAAAAGCATGACCAAGTAGAAAGTGCAGCACACCCTATCATTACAGCACACAGGGTAAGATCCTGGCCCCATCTGAATCAATGTCAAAACTCTCATTAGAAGTTCAAGAGATGCCAGTAGCAGAACCATCATTTTCAAATTCTTGTAAAAGATGACATTTTGAAAACTATTGTGCTGGTTTCTGCTGCTGCCACGCAGTTTACTGAGAGAGGTTGGCTGAACTGGACTTTGGTGATGAAAGACATGAACAGAAATAAAAGGAGAAAACATCAGGACAATTGAATAGATTTCCTTCTTTGCACAACTCCAAATCCCACAGTTGGCATTAATTCAGAAAACAAACCAAGCCCAAACAGATTCAAGATTATCATACCTGTATGATGTGAAACAGGGCAAACAACACTCAAGACTGAAGTAATATTTTAAAATTAAACAGCCTTGAGCAGTTAGGAGGAGATATGATGAGAATTTTATACTGGTTTAATACTAGTGGATCTGTTTATGGTGTGTGCTGATCAATAACGCACTGCTTCCATCCATTCTCTCGCATTACAGAAGTTTTAAGACATTGCCTGAAAACAAAAAGTATCAGTGTAACATACAAATAGGATTTCATCTGTAGCCATGATAGCACAGCCTTTCCAAAATGACTTTAACCCAATGAACATCTGTCAATTAATTTAAGAAGGGTTTTTTTTTTCCTGGCTCATTAATAAAAAAAGTTGGAAATCAACAAACATTACGTTGGCTTTAGCAAGAGGAAACATTCAATGGCTCCTGTTATAAAAGTGAGTGTAGTGCTCTTGACAGAAACCAGTGTATTCAGTCATCTGAAGATGCGCGTGGCCACGGCCAATGCCCTCTTTTCTCCTCCCAACCCCAAGTCCCCTGACAAAGCAAGAAAAATGAGTTTCTTCTTCCACCCCACCCCACCTTAGATTTTCTCCCATAGTTTGACTACAGTCATCCTTAAACAGGCAGAAAGTTGATGCGTTCTCTTCAGTTGATGCCTCCAACTTCTTCATTCTTGGCTCAAGTATTATTCATTAATTAGTCATCAGTTATTAAGAAAAAGATAGTTTCTAAGTGTTTGTTGTTGTTTTTTAACTGAAGTTAATCGGATACCATAGTCTGGTTATATGTGCTGAACTGCAGCTGTGAGTTATTCCTTTTTCTTGAATTCTTGGTTGCCATAGCTGGAGCCTTTTTCTATTTCAGTTACTCCTATCAGTCTACGAACTCCAAAGGAAGCTTTAAAATATAACAGAGAAATGGGAGACATATTAAAACCAGCTCAAGGATTTAAGAAGTTACATGTAAACACACAAGCAGAACCAACATAAGTTAACCCAATCCTGAAGACAGTAGTGACTACAGACCAACAGTGCACTGTATGAGGCCACGCGTGGATCACAGGTCAGATGTCACTAAAAGAGGAGGACAATCTAGATTTCAAAATATAATTAATGCCTCTATGTTGATTAACAGGATAGGTAGTATGCACACTGAATCATATATCCCCCACGCCCATTTAGTTTCAGGGAGGTGGGGGGTGGTTAGTTTTTTTTTGTTTGGGGGGTGGATTAGGTTTTGCATTTGTTTGGTTTATGGTGGGGTTTGGGGGTTTTTTGTTTGGGTTTTTTGTTGTGGTTTTTTTTTTTTTAAAATTCACAGACAAGGTATACAGTAAAAGTATTTTCTCCTTCAGGCGCCATAACAATGGGCTACAAGAGTCACCACTATTGATTGCTATAAATATTGCCTAAGATATGAGGACAAGCCTGCCTGGATTAAAGCTTTTGAAATAATAAAAATGCTATACAATACAAAGACTACAGAGTGAGCTCCAAGTACTCTTCCGCAAGCCCCATTCACATTAATTAATACAGAGAACTTATTGGAGGTAACAGATCCTGTTACACATCACTCTCTGCTTTTATTACCTGCTCCAACAAGTCCCAGGAATGCAAGGATAAGGAGAGGTGATCCACTTGCAAAAACTCCAAAGCCAAATGTGAAAAGAGGAGAGAGAAGAACTGTGGCCCAAAAAAGAAAGTTTAGGAGAGTCCATGGTCTCCTAGGTGGTTTAAACTGCTGGCCAGGAAATATGCCTTCCTGATTATACATCTCTTGCAAAGCATCCTGGGAGAAAGAGAAGATAGAAGAAAACATGTTCATAATGTTGGCACTGAGCAATCAAAGGCTAGTCAACTCCAGCAAAACGTCAAGGATGGTGTCTGTGGTAAATATCCATCAAGAGTACACAGCATCCATTTCTATCTGCTGTCATTTATTTGGGCATTTCTGTTGACCGCCAAGGCTACCTTTGAAGGCAATCTTGGCCACCATCACAAACTGAAACCATACCAGCCTCTCCACTACCAAAAATCTTTGTCTCTTCTCTTAATTGCTTCGGAATTTAGGGCAGCATCAGGCCAGGGGCCAATTCAGACACTACTTGCCTCTTTGCTTGATGCTTTTTCTTCCTGTTTTTACTTCCAGAAAGGTCAACATGATTTAGCAAAGCACAGCAGAAAAATGCTGTGGATACAGCCAGAAGAGAAAAGCAAACCACAAGTTAACCAGCAGAGACAGCACTGTGCCAGCCATAACCACAAGACTTCAACAGAGCAGTTGCGTCCCGAGCTGAGCCTGCAGAGAGATGCAATCATGAAACGTATCACTCAAAGGAGCAACACGTCCACAGCTTTCCCTCAGTTTGGAAGAATGTTCTCTAAGCTTTCCAAGCCATTACCAAGGATGGTTCAAGTTTGGCTATTTCTTATTTTTCTCCACTTAGGCTGTTTTTCTTTTAGCTTCCCTTATACAGGGTTGAGAAGCACAAGGCATTCCTTGCTAATAACACAGCCTTTTGAGGACGTACCCTCTGTGCGGGAAGAGCACTTTAAGGATTCCAGTTACAACATATTGCTACCGCCATAAGATCAATACATAAAATACCCACGTATCTAAGTAATACCTCCCCAGCAACACCTCACAAAGTTGAAAAGAGGTACAGCCAACACCAGCAAGGAACACCAAGCCCTCCATCTGCAAGCAAAGCAGAGCATTCTGCCCAAGGAATGGCACCAAGTGGAGTGAATGCTCTGTGCTCCATCTCCTTAGCTCTTGCATTTAATGTTTAACAGAGCAGGAGCAAAGCAGACAAAGACCACCCCTGTAACATACACCTTAACGTCTGCTCCTCCAGCCAGGCAATCTCAAGGAATTCTTGCATCTAAGAGCCTCTTCACAAGGGAATTACATGATGGCATGTCACTGATAGCAAGGATTCAAGTATCCCAAATTTTCTGGTTTTTTTTTTTAGGCTCTCCAATCCCATATTACACTGACTGACTCACAAGCTAGTTTCATACACCTGCTAATGGGACGTGGGGGGAGAAGATGATGATAGCTACTTGCTCTTTGTAAGATAACTTCTCTCCCCTTAATTGAATTAGAGCTTAGGTATTCTAACAAATTGGGTTAAAATGAACAAAATGAAACTTAGAACAATTTGCTGCCTGCCTACCAACAAAGGGTAAGCTTGGAAATGCTGCAGCACAGGTCATCATAGCAGAAGAAAGCCCAAGATAGTTAAAAGTTTCTGCACTCCTCTGTTTTCGCACAGAGCAACACAAAAATCAAGATACACATTTCAAGTTCAACAATCCACCAATTAGGGCTGGGCAACATTAATTACAGTTTCTCCTCCTCCCCACACAACTGTTAAATCTGTGGTCAAGAAATTAACCACCTAAGGTAAGAAAAGAAAATGCACGAGGAAAAGCTTTGAGCCGTTTGAAGGCATGCTGGCCAGGCACTACATCAGTCCCTGACAGCAAATCCCAGGGCCCAGCTGTACCGTGTCACACACCACTGCAGAGGTATTACCAGGAGGCAGCAGGAAAGTGACAGTGGAAGAGACGTGAAAGCAGAAGACAATTGCAGCTAAGAGCTGGGACCAGCTGTCCCTGACATACACTTATCATTCCTCTTGAGTGCCTAAAAACACCCACAGGAAAAATGGAGCTTTTAGAAATGTATGACAGAGACCCAAGAGCTGAAGAATATAAAAAGACGACGGATTGCTATTAGTCTTCTGCGACTCAGGCATATCTCTGAATCCCATTGTGCTTCCCAGCAATTTGAGACCTACTCACTATCTGCGGCCAAGGGGTTCTTCTGTACCGCTCCTTCCAGCGGTTTGAGAGACGGCTGCCAAATTATACATAATATTTCCATCTCTTCTCTCCATCCAGTGGAAGAGTGTGCATTACTCAGTGCCTTAATACACTACTAGCCCTGTGAAAGTCCCAAAAGAGAGAAAAGAAAGCAAAGCTGTTTACCTTTTCCTGGTAAAGCTTGTGAAGCCAGTTTGCAGCTTCCTTTTCATCTTGAGGGATATCTTCCAGAGGAAATCTCCTAGTTTAGTAGAGATTTAAAAAAAAAAATAAAAAATTAAGGAACAATCCAGGAATTTGACCTTAGACTTCTACTAGAGAAGGTCTTCCATTCAATGAAGAGTGTAAGCTACAGGTAATATTGTCACTGACGGCAGAGGTCTTAAATGCAGATAAGAACTGGGACTTAAATAACACCTGATTCTCCATTTAAAACTCAGATTCCTAAGACAAAAGAAACCATACAAGCTCCTAGCAATTTTAGAGCACATTAGTAAAACAAGCATTTCCCATTCAAACACTGTTCTTCCTTCACCGGAACCACTACTGGCTGATTCCCAGTGAGCTCAGACTGAGGCACCCGGAGCTGGGAAAAGACAAGCAAGTGGCAAACCCTAGGATAATTGCCCGTTACATTTTGTTAGTGAAAATTTTGGAAGGAATGGAAGGGGTTCTTAAAAATTCATTTCATACCAACTCTAAGGAAAACATCTTCTTCTCAGTGGTGCCCAGCGACAGGACAAGGGACAATGGGCACAAACTGGAACACAGGAAGTTCCATCTGAATATGAGGAAAAACTTCTTCACTGTGAGGGTGACCGAGCACTGGGACAGGCTGCCCAGAGAGGTTGTGGAGTCTCTTCTCTGGAGAGATTCAAAATCCGCCTGGACACGATCCTGTGCAACCTGCTCTTGGAGATCCTGCTTTAGCAGGGGGGTTGGACTAGATGATCTCCAGAGATCCCTTCCAAACCCTACCGTTCTGTGATTCTACAGCAACTGCACTTCTCTCTCCTTGCCTCTCCAGCCCTACAGATTGAGGCATGCAGTTCTGGGTGCATACAAAAATTATGCCCCCCTCCAGGTACTGACCTGACCTGTCCGAGAACAGGCACCTTTTAAGAGCCTCTTTCTAGTGGCAAAGAGCCAATCATTTTCCTGCATTTCTTTTATTTGCCGAGATAGGCCACTAGCACGCTCACAAATGTATCATCTCCTTTCTCAGTGGCACACATCTCAGTCCTGGATCAATTCAGAAAGAAGTTGCTTGGTTTGTAGAGGGCAGGCACACACCTTACTCTCAGCTCGAACATATTTTGGCAACACTTGGACTGTATCAGGGCCCTCTTACAGCAGGGCAGTAAGAACAGAAGGGTGACCTCTAGGAGGGCTCTGGACACAGTGATCCCGGATACAACTTATTTGCTGCTGTTCATCCGAGGATTATATTTCTGCAATATGAACTAAAGCCTTCGAGTCCACAGCAGCAGAGGGAAGATATTCTAATACACCTCTAATAATTTCTGCATGCCATAAACGAATTCAACACCAGATTTTACAGATTTACTTTCATTAGCTCTAACAGGAAGAGCTGCTCAATTAATGTAAATAATGCTCAATAAAAGCTCAGTGAAAGACATTTCCCAAAAGCTCTTTGGTAAAGTTGTCGCCATATTGCTATCACCACTAGAGGGTACTCACAGCAACAACATTTGGTCATATAGCTGATTATTTTCTCTGGAGCCAGTCAGGAAAAAGACTGGATCCTCTGTAGAAAGCTAAGCTTCTTACCTCTGCACAGGTAACTGCATACACGTACACCAAGAACAAGAGCTTACGTGCTTCCTTTCTCTGAGCTAAACTAAGTCCGCTGGCACATTAAGGACAAGTTCAATTTTCAGCAAAAAAGCTGTAGTTTATTCTCACAGCTTCCTCTCAAAAAAGAAAAAGCATCAAGTGTAGAAAAGCATCTTGAGAATGTTGATTCAGTCCACAAACATATTTGAAATCAAAATTATCTGAACACAGTCACTGTACCTTTAATAGGGTACAATTAGTAATTTTACCCGGCAACATCATCCTCAGCAGAATTTTATGGATCCAACCCTCTTCTAACAACTATTGAAAACTACATATCTCTTCTTTCCTCCCACTACCTCACCAATAAATATAACCAACTTGCATCTCCATTAGCAAGCCATACGATAGTTAACTGAATGCAGCCATTGTTCAATGTATAATTGCCAAGATGTACATCCATGCATCTGTACCCCAGATCTAGCTAGACATGCTGCATGCATCTGCCATCAGTATGGAATTACAGGTGGCAGTCGCCTGACCAGCTGTTGCGCTAGCTGGTAAGTTGTCCACTCGCTTTCCTCAGCAGGAATATATCTGGCAAGTGTAAACAGTCAAAATGAAACCCCTCGCAAATGAGTGACCCCATCTCTCCCCCCCATCACCCATCCGCAGCCTTCTTGCCAACTGAAAGACTAAAACGTTGGGGTAGTTGCAGTATCTGAGAACAGAACTGGGACGCGTGTCCTTCCCGTCGCCATTAGGGCTGCAGCACTCTGCCTCCGCTGGGATAGCCTTTTCTCCACAGAACTGTTGCTGCTATACCTCAACACAACGGATAATCAGTGTCACTCCCTACAAAGTCTTTCACCCTGCGAGGCTCTAGCGAGACACACCTGTCCTGTAGAAGGACAACGTATAGAGCCAGTGCCACACATCTGCAATGCACAGACCCATGGCCAGAGGGGAAAGGTGTGGGGGAGAAGTAGCAAGGCGGTTTTTTTTTTCCTTTTTTCTTTTAATAACCAAACATTAACCTCATCACCAGAATATAGCAATGTTTTCCAAAGTGTGGGTGAAGTTCCCAGAGAAGCAGATGTGAACTGTCAAAAGAACAACCAGGTTGTTTGTCAGGTACAAACATAAAAGGGAAAAGAAGAAATGCAACAGGAAAGAGTTGGTAGTTTTTATGATCACAAGGAAGCTTTAGAGCAGAAGGCAACAGGGAGAAAGCACAAAGAGAAAGCATGCATGTGTGCACGAGTTAGGTGTAAGCAGTTACTCTTTCAGGCAAAAGAGTAATGAGGAATGTGAGGAATATACCACCTCATTCATATGATGTCTGAATTTCAGCATTATTTAACTTCTAATCTGCTAATCAAACCATGTGAGAGAAGGAGAGAAACCAGCACAGTAAGGAGCTTTACATCATGTACTGCAAGAGACTGCTCATGTTGGACAGGCTATTTATACTACGCATTTGCTCACAGGAGGCTAGGAAGGGGCAGAACAGTCAGTTTTCTGTTCCCACAGAGAAAGGAAAAATGTGGACTAGTGCCCTCACCGCACAAAACTTGGGGAATCCCCGTAACGACAATGTCGTCATACCCAGGCTTAAAAAGTCTGCCCAGTCCTCTCTGACTTGCTGGGTGATATCATGGGATCTCACACATGAAAGCAGACTAAAGCAAGGGGAAAACGGGGAGGTCTTTGTAGCCTGCAGAGAAGTTCTAAGGACAAGGAAAAAAAGACTACAGCAAAGGACATTACCCTGTAAAATCTGAATACACTGCAACATGCCAAAGCATACATCTTAGGGCTCACCTCCATCAGTATATGCTCACCTTACACACATATCTGCTTCATATTTCTTTCCATAAAGAATTCCTAATAAAGACGGGTTCTTGTTTCCTCTGAAATTTAGTGTTACATCATACACTGCTGAAACTGTTACAAAAAAGAAAATATGGCTGTTAAATCAGCAATTCTAGCAACCACGTTGCCAACATCTTTGCCTTAGAGAGCAACAGGGCCTGGTGCAAGCTTTGCATTAATGATGTCAGACAGCAGAGTCCTTCGCTACTTTGTGTTTACATGTTGTACTTATCTGTATCAGCCACCTGACAAGCCCATCTACATAGCATGTGTGTTATCAAAACACAAGACAAGTTGATGAACTAAGCAACAATGACATACACAAAAGGTTTATTATTTTTTAAGACTGGTGCCTGAGAGTTTTGTGGCACAAATTAACAGCTGACACGTTGAATGCTTATTACTGCCAACTCACTAATCGTAATGGATGTAATGAACAACAAAGTCTACTACACTGTGCTACACAGAGTATATACCAAACAGCACATTAAAATTAATACAAAGAACAAGTAGCAGCTTGCCAGTACCTGTTCCCCTGAGACACTGGACAGCAGTGGTGAAACCTTTGGTTCTGGGCAACAGGTGGTATTTCAGTTTGGGCAACCCCTTGGATTCAGCTACCTCCATACTGATCCGATGCTTGGTCTCTGTAAAACGAGTTCCTTCACAGTACAGGAGAAACTAGACCAATGAGAAAAGAGGCAAAAACAAGGGCGTCTTGAGATCAAAAGAAACCAAGCAGAATACTGAAAATTTGTGTAAGATAAACATGTACCGTGCATGTGCACACACTTCAATTGTCTCATTTGATCATCAAGTAATAGGCATAAGCACCACCTCACAACTCATTTACAGCTATATTTAATTTTAACAACACTGGTACCAAATTTAAGGGGACAAAAAGTCTAAATGGTTATACCTGAAACATTTACTTAAAAAAAGAAAAATCCCTGAAGATTTTGGCTGGCTGGTGATGGACTAATCTACAAATCAGAAAAAGCAAACCAAACATCAGTACACGACCACTTTAGGAAAAAACAGATTAATCACTAGCTACCTCATTTAAAATTTGCACTGTACAACCAGAATTACTCATCCGAAGAAGGACTTGTTTGTCTCAAAGCTTTTCTGATTTTTTTTTTTTGCATTTGTATCAGTTGTGCTCATGAAAAGCGGTGCCTTTCCCTAAAACCTTTACCTTGCTTATCTTGTAAGGCACCAATCTAATAGTTACTTAGGATACCACAGTCAAAGACTTAAATCCTCCCATACTGACTTCAAGCAGCACAAAACATCGAACTGTCCTTCTCCAGCCTCTGTCTTGCCTCTGCTCTAGTTGAGATGGAGACCAGAAGCAATGCAAAGCCAAGAACAGACAAAGCCCTTCTGAGGGCCCTAGGGTGAATTTCAATTTATCCCTGGCCTTTTTGAAAGGTGGACATCATTCCCATTGTGCCAATGGAAAACGTTGCTGCATTCAAACACACAAACCTCTGCACCCCTGGCAAGCAGTGGAGGGGGAGAAGGGCAGGTTGCTACTATGTCACAGCAGTATCACGCAACGCCATAACATTGCAATTCAAAAGAAGACCTGGTGAATGCATCGCTATGCATCTGCTATTTGTCAGTATTGTGGTTGCACTACTTTTTCTCTGTAGCGTATCCACCTACTGTGTACCACAACAGGCCAGTTAAATGAATGTTAAAACCGCAAAGCCATAGACACGAGAGTTAGACCTGCCAGTGTGCAGTGAGAGAACGGGAGCTGGTCCTGCAGTCTTCATTTGGCCCATCAGGACACGTTCGTTATGAAAATTTGACCAACCATCACCACCAAATGGTGAGGACAAGGTAGAGAGTAACACCACAATCTCAACCTCAGTCTGCAATGCAACTCCTTATACCAAATTCTCACTCTTTTCCACTCAACGGCACAGTGATCCTTCTGGACCAAGTAGGCGAGCGAGGTACAGACTGTGCTGCAGCACATGTGTGAGAAAGACTTCACGAAGAAAGGTCGCACAGACAGCCCTCATTGTGGCATTTAGAATGCATAAAAATTAGGAAACTGATTTGCTCAAGTCAATTTAATCATGATTTAAATTAGCAAGCAGGAAGTCTTGATTTAAATTATCAATGCTAACTACATTTTGCATTTATATTTTCAAGTTGTTTTCCCTAGAGACTAGTCCTTGGTTCTCAATCGTAGAATCATTAAAATGTATAGATTTGCAACTAAAGTGCAGTCCTGACATTTTTTTAATTGGTAGGGTTTTTTCCCCAACACTAATCAGGAGGATGTATTAAATGTAGTTCATATCCATATATTCAAGCAATTAAGTAGTCTAAAATACATTCTCCAGATTCTTATTTTTTTATCTTTGTAATGATAGAAAATCACGAATGACACAGTCACAATGTACTAGTTAAAGCTTGCAATTTCACTATTCATTTTAACAAGCTGTACTAGATAATATTGAAAAGTCACTTAAAATGCACAAGCCTCTTAAAATGTTTAATGAGCCAAATAACTGTACATTACATGCGCTGCTATAAAAGCAAACCAGTAAATTTATCAAAACGTTTGCATTCAAAGCTAAAAGAAGGTCAATAGGTTGATTATACCGCTGTGTTGCTGCGGTAAAATCTAATGACATTGCACATAATGAAACATTGACTTCAAATAATGTCAAAATAAAAAGGAAAAGCATAACTGCAAAAGCAATGTAAGCTTGCCATATGTTCTCATAGACACTTTTTGGGAAACCCGTCATTTCACAGATCAATGAACATACTAACAGGAACCCCCTATCACAGTCCATGGTTTGTGCACAGCCCCCCACCCAAATTTACTCACTTCTCCAGAAAAAGATTTTTTTGTTTATGTGTCTTTTTAGCCTACCTCAGAAAATGTAGCTTAAAGTTATATGGATTTAGTAGTTAAATATGGGCTGGTTTATTTTTTTTTTTTTTTTAAAAGGTAAAAATAAGTGCAGACAAAATTAACAAGTATTACACAAGCCTGATTTATAAAGTATTGTCAAGCTTCTAATCATCTATGCAAGCTTCTGAACTGTTTTCCAAATGACTTCCCTTACCAACAGGCAAACAGAACAACATTTTACCAGTGTATCTCAAAAGTCCTCCTGAAACAGAGCACAGGTTTTCCATGACAACACTTGAAGAAAGTAGTGAGCAGACCTTCTCCTGATATATAAGGCTACCATACCACATGAATATCTCCGTCACCATTTCACTTCTAGCAGTTGATACTACAGGAGGAACTTGACACTTACCCACATATATTCAGGATAATCAGCCAAACGTTTTAATCCTTCAATAACCGTATCTCTGTCTTCTTCCCATTTCCTTTTGCAGAAAACAATCTCAAGGAAGTACCATGTCCAGCCAATTAGGGGCACATATAGTAACTCTCTCTTAGCAAGAACTTTGGAACTCTTGGAGAAAAACAAAAACAGTAATCCAAAAATGTCATTTGCTGATTTGTACAATAAGATCAAACAAAGAAATTAAAGTTAAGATGATGAAGAGTTAATGGAGTTTTATCTGGAAACTTAAATGCAAAGAAACTGTACGCACATGGGTTTTAAATAGACCTATAGTCCTCCACATGAAGGGAAAGGTCACGGCCCCACATACCCCTAGCACTCCGAAGCGCTCTGTCATAGTCCAGCCGCACAAGAAGTCGATTTCAAAGTTGTGATTCAAGATGATGATGACATGTTCTTTCCCAAAGGTGTTCACTGTGGCTTCATCTGAGAACAAGGTGCACTCTGTGCCTGACCACCATTCCAGCAGCATTACCAACTCTGACAAACATGATGCAGATGGAGAGGCACGTTAGGGGTGCCGCTTAGAGAAAGCATTTAGCCTTTCACCTCCAGCCCCACTGAGTGCCTAGTCTCTTCTGACTCCCAACAACTCTGCCACCTTTTCAATCCAACCCAGTAGAGATGAAGTGAGAGCTTAGATGGGTATAGACCAAATAACATCACCATCCTGAAGCAGTATTTAGGGCACTAGATATATGCATTATGGATAATTTAACAAGTTTTTAACAGTGACAAGTTTGGGCATTGTATTATGAATGTGAAATTTCATGATCACTGGAAAAAACCCCAAAACTTTGGGCCTGAAAACAGACAGTTGAGCCGTTGATTGCTCCACTAAATGAGCATAGTTTCTCCCAGGCGGAATACAAATTATGCATAGATGCAGCCTAATGCTTTTACTCAACATGAAACAAGCTTTATGGAGGTAAACAGACAGATAAAGGGCTTTTAAAGGGATACAGTACCATAGATCTTCTGCAATAGGTTTTAATATTAGAACACAGGACTCTAATCATTCTGTATTATGGTCATCAACATAGAGTCAGAAGCACCAGAGAATTGAGCTAATTTATCAAAATACCTGGGCAAAGCCAGGAATGGTAAATTGTGTCTTTTACTGCAAAAGAATGAGCCCTTTCTCCTGTCTTCTGTAGCTTTTCAATATCCCAGCACCTCTCTTATTCCACCCTGAACATTTCCGTCGTTACCCACTTTTATTTTCCACCTCCCTTTTTTCCATCTTCAAAAACCACTTCCATTTAAGTTCAGCACGCACTGAACGCGGGTGTTATGGTTGGCCTATTGCAGTACAACCAGGCAGATGGAAGGCATTGCTTGTATCATGGGATAACTACAAAAAGTACGAGAGTAGTTCATTCTCCCAGTAGGAGAATTTGCTTCCATGCAAACTGTAGTCATGGGTATTTTCTCATTGCAATAAGATATGGATGCAATCAAAATTTGGTTGCACAAATATAGCAGTTAAAAAGTCCAACTCTTCCCACGTTACTATGACAAACTTGCAGAGTCAAAACTGGAAGGTGCCTCCTCGGTTCTCTACATCAGGTTTTGCCACACAGTATTTCAGCTTTCCATCGAGAGGCCCTGCTTTTGCAAAATGGAGCAGTGCCTTCCCGCACAAGGGCTTCTATCAGCGGGATCACAACAGGGAAATCTAGCCATACTGCTAAATAAGAGTGGGTCTAACTGCGGAACGCATCAGAGAGAAGGCAAACACAGTATTTAGGTGAATGATAGGGAACACCAGTTCTGGTCTGCTGAAGATATATAGCTTCTCTAGCACTAGTTTCTTCACTTCTATTCCCCCTGTGATCACTTATCCACCAGGTTATTCTCCTGCTTCATTTTCAAGACTCACTCATTTGGAGGCATGACAAAGTTACCCAACTTGCTGATCAAGAGAGCGTAGCCCTGGTAAACTGTAAATACAACAGAGGAAAGACAGAGTAATAGTTTATACTAAGTAGACATTTCTGTCATTGCTTTCCAGCTTTGTCTCTTTTGCAAATGATGTGCTCACTTACCTTTCTTGCTCTGGTTATGCTGGCTCAGTTTAAGAGGACAGCGGACAGCAAGAGTGTCCTCAGTTGAGAGCTATGCTCTTCCAAGCAGGTGGCCAGGAGAATAGAGTAGTGGTACCAAACACAATGTGGTACTCTGAGTGATTTTTCCCTGTACAGTGCTGTCTATGTACTAAAGAGGAACATCCCCAATACCTGCTACACTTGCTGTATTTTCTTATAAAAAAAAAATTAAATGGGTGAGTTCCTTCAAAATCAGAAAAAAATTCTGTAGAGGCAGGTGTGGATGATTTTCTACAGAGCATTTCTTGTACCATTCACTCCAAATTAGTGGAGAAAGCTTTGCTGAAAGATTTGCCAGAGTTCATACTGAGAGAGGAGGGTTGATGAGCCGGAGAATTAATATGAGGAAACAGATTGTCCTTTACAAGTGTACTGATAAATGATGTAATTATAACCGGGAGCAGGCTCATTTCCTTTTTTTTTTGGTGTGTGGTTTACAGCTATTTTGCGTGGCACCAATCCTGCTTGCTACAGCAAGCCCATCCTTCTGAATGAATGGACAATAACACTTGCGCTGCTTGGGATACTTCCTGGAGAGGACAAGCAACACCTCGCTACAACAAACCCTTTCCTGCGGCCGGGGTTCCCACACGCCAAAGCAGGCAGGTTTACAACCTCGCAAGCCAGCTGGAAACAAAGCAAGCACAGCACACCTCTCAGTTTGAAGTATTAACATTTGAGAGATTATTTTTGCAAGCAGACTAAACCAAACGCGCTGCGCTCTCCAAAGGCATGAGCCATCTGAGAGGAACTGGTGTAGGAGAGCTTGAAGTACAGGCTTCATGAATTACGTGTGCTGCAAAGGGTTTACGTTGAGGCCAGAGCCTGACAGACGCTTTTTCCCCCCCAAACATCTGCCGTGAACACCAGATCTCCTTCCCCTTCTGAAGCTGTGCTTTATGTATTTGAGAAGAGATACAGCAAGAACAGAGCCCGGTTTTCAGTGGGCTAGAGTACATGGCCAGATACACGATCATCCACCCCCGCACATCGATCCGCTGCCGGACGGGCAGAGCAGCTTCTGTTACAGACAACTCTGACGTGAACACCCTCAGCCTAAAACTAAACAGCTTAGAGTAAGCAAGCCAAACGTGGCATCTGGAACAGAACACCAACCTGCAGGTTCACTGCCAGAAGGCTTCCACGTAATGAAATATATTTCGTTATGATTGGCAACATTTGAACTGCTGCATTTACATGGCTTGCTTAATTAGTTATAAATCACAATTAAAGTGCACATTCTGTCAGCTCTTCCATTACAGGCCATCAGCACTCTGCAATCCCACATAACGTTTACATTAATTTTCATAGTTTAATTTCTCAATCATTTAATTTATAATAGGCTATACATGAGGGGTTATCCTAGGTACAACCCAATTATCCACTCAGCTTCTCCAAACCTTTTTGAACAGTAGCGTACGTTATTTCCAGCGTATACAAGACAGAAGATAACAGTATTTAAAATGTGTTTTTTCCATGCACAATGCTAACTTGTAGAAATCGAGGGTCTGAACCTAGAAGCCTTACAGGCACAAGCAGCTCATACCCTCAGAAAAGCCAGACTATTAGTGCAACAGTAGTTTTCAGGATGAGACCAGAATCTAGATTATTAAAAGCACATTGAGAAATTCTTACAAGCAAATTAAAAAAATAAAACCCATATACCCCCACTCCCCTCCTACTAAGCTAATTTTGAAGTTTCTACCCGTAAGTTCTTCCATTCCATACCTTTTCTCCAGGCAGTTTGCCTGCCACACTCTATTTCATTTCCTTTCTCCTGTGCTTCTCAGACAACATTCTCAATAGGTAGGACAAAAAGCACAGGAAGGACAATGAGCTGAAAAAGAAACCAAACTAGACACTTTGGAGAGTTGTTGTTGGTAGTACTTCACATGGATGATTTGAGAAGTGTGGGTGCCTGTCAGTGGACCGCTCAACTGTAATTTAAGTACTCATTTAGGTGACTCATTTACCCAAAGTGGGAGTTGGATGCTGAGCTGAGCACTAAGGTAAGTGGCCGTGCATACTGGGAGGGGATGGAGAATGGAAACAAATTAGATGATTCACTGCTGAAACAGGAGGTGACATTTGGACTAAGAACCCTTCTAAACTTTCATTTCAGAAATCTAATCCCCTGTTAAGCTCTGTGAGGAGAGGAGAAAAGTCATCCACAGGGAGGAAGTTTTGCAAAGGTCTGAAAGAGGAGAGCAAAGCAGCTGCACTCACTGTAGAGCCATCCCACAGGCTAAAGAAGAATGACAAATTGCTCACAAGAGGAGACACTGGCATCGCAGATAGACACTGTAGGGTGTAAGAGGACTCCAAAGTTGTCACACAGTTCAGCTATAGAGTCATCTACACTAGATACTTCAAGACAGACATCTCTCTCTGCAGACCACACAGCTCACTTGGGCAACACTGCATGTATGCTCAATATGTGAAGTAGTCTCTGTGAATTCCCCCTTCCCCATCACTTCACGCAGGCTCTGATGCTGGATGAAGATGGTATTGAGACAGAATCATCAACTCCTACCAGTCAAGATAGGGCTGGGCGTGGGGAGGGACTTCCCACTTTGAATAACAGAGTGACGATATGTATCAGTCCCTTGACTTTTGTATGTTTTCCCAATATTCAGAAAAGTTGGCTGCTTTGAACTGCTCTGAAAGAGTCTACATCTAACTTACCACTTCTCTCACGTCTGTTTGTTTATACATATATATATATGTGTGCATATATATTTTTTTCTTTAATCAACAAAAAGAGAAACAAAAAACACTCCCCTCCCCAGCCCTCCCATCCCCTTCAAGCATACTCACGGCTCCAAAGTGAATAGGCAAGGCGACAGTTTACTCTGCGATAAAACTGCTTGTTTATGGGCCAGAGGACTAGCGTGCATAGTTGAATGAAGTTAATGATCAGTCCGCTCACAACAAAGACGAACCCAATGAGGAGGTGAACTATGAACTGGGTCTTCAGAAAGGCAATGAAGCCCATGATAACCACTCAGAAGCGCGTGCAAGGGCCGTCACTCAGAATAACTGTCCTGAAAGAGAAAGAAAAGAATCAAAAGGAGACTGGATTGACAAGCCCTGAGGAACGGCAGAGCAAGAGCCCTGAAACAGTCCATGCAGCTTCAGCAACAGGAACCCAACCCAATAAACACTCCGCCCTCCAAGCCTGCCTCATTCAAGTCTTCACAGAATAAACTGTTGATGGTGCAAATCACTTCCAAAAATAGGAAAGGAATCATTATTTGCAATTTACAGCCCTCTAAGAAGATTACTGTTTGCTGAAGATGAATCTCACACCTCTCTTCAAACAAAGACCATATAATAGGACTGGGAGGAACACAGAGCCCTGCACTCACGGTGCAGCAGTCGAGTGCCATGGGGCCACAAGCTGCGCTGTGACTGCTGTACCTTCAGGGGTTGCTGTCCCTGAACTGCAACAGCACCTTCATCTCCCCCGAACCCAATAAATGGCATGCCCAGCCTCTGGAGCTCCGTAAATGAACCGATGCCTTCCTGGCCTGCCTTCAAAGCCACTGCTCCGTGTGTGCTTCTCCTGAACAAGCACCGAGTGAGGGCTGCCAGGGGCTACAGAGACTTTGTTATGCATTTGCTTTGACTAGAAGAGTACAGCAGTCCACCTGGGGAGCAGGCTCTGCATCCTGCAGTGAATTTCAGGATGAAAAGAGCAGGGCTGGTCACACAGAGCATCAGCCTGGCAAACACCAAGGCATGGAAATGGAAATTAGGTATTTCCACATCCAAAAACCATACTGGAGCAAGTTTAGTAACTTCTCACTTTGTCAAGACACAGTTCCATGATCAAATATACCAGTTAGTGTGTGGGAAGTAAAATAATAGAAAAACCTTAGGCTATCTAGCAGTACCAACTTGACCTGGAAAGGACTTTGGCCCAAAATCTTGATTTCACTGAATCAGTCAGAGCACTTAACCTGAAGCATGTGCCATATTTATACCAGGTGCAGAAAGATGGGTGGTGTATGAACCAACAGAAAGTTATAGTAGCTTAGACAGACAAGTCTGATCCAAGACAAATCCTACCAATACAAAGTTAATCCAACAAAATGTATTTAACAAACCACCAGACTGAGTTTATTCCCAACCCTGCGTTATCTGGCACTGGCCTTTTTGGCCTGTTGAGTATTAGAAGCCCTACAACCAGGCCAACCAGGATGTCAAAACACAGCCTCAACGTCTCACCCAAAAAATAAAAGCATGACCCCAATTTTCTGCCACAGCCAAATAGGCTCTGTCTTTGCCAGTGTTGCAAACGACCAGAACAACCAGTACATGGTAAGAAATACTTTTGACAAGTCAAGCATCCAAAGGTGTTGCAGAAGTTTCCGATGCCCGAAAATAAAGTATCTGCCAGCTGTGAGGAACCAAACCATTTTCGTTTGCCACCTGCTTGCAGTGTGGTGCTATTTATAAAACTCAACAGCAATTTTGCTTGTGAAAGCTTGTTTTCTACTGTCTCTCCTACAAATCAGGTACTGTCTTGCAAGGCGCAGAGCGTCTAGCTTTTGCACAATTAAAATCTATTTGCATCATTAGTAATCTACCCACTTCAGAAGCCCATTACAACGGAAAAAAGAAGTCTGTTTCAATAGAGCCACTATTGTGTCTACCACAGAAAGCAAAGCAAGTTGAATAAGCTGATATTGAATCTTATGATGAATAATCTAAATTCTCCCAATGTTTTCCTGTAAGAATGGAAGAAACATTTCTTCCACTGATAAATTAAGAACAGTTGTTGGGAAGCAGAGACTTGTGTTTAAAAAGAAACAAAGATGGAGCCCTCCTTCCCTCCCCAAAGGGTTAGGGGGTACAGTTGTCTTATACAGCCAAAACACTGCACCAGCGTTCACACGTACTGGAGGTACCCACCGTATTCAGCGTTTGACTCCCTAACACAGCAATGGGCTCATTTATCTTTTCCACTGGCACATTCTTCAAGTCATTGTATTAAGTATCGCCAAACATTAAACACCAAGTTCTTCACTTCCAAGATTGGTGTCATTCTCTTAATCTAGTCTCTCTCAAAAAACAGACCAAACAAACTAGAAAAGAACAATTTCCCTTTCTCTCCGCACACAACTATTTCTTGAAACCGTACTTGCCTTCCACAAAGCCGTGTGCAGGCAGCTTTGCTCGTGACAGTGTCTATCATACTCATCAGCGGAGTACTTACTGCTGTTCACACAGCTTGGCCCCTCCTGGAAAAGGGCCCAAAGCACATACAAACAGCATGAGGAAGAACTGAAATGTCACGTATTACCCTCAAATAAAATGGTTTGGCTCCACTTCCACAGCCTCTTTGCTTCGAGCAAAGCCTAGAGCACTCTGGTATTTGTCCCTTACATTAAGGACATCGCCGTATTACGGACCCAGAAGGGCACAACCCTTTTGATCAGACAGAAAGCTGGAGACATTGCAGCATGTTGCTTTGCTAGCTTTGTTACGCATGGAAAACAGGAGTTATCATTTGTGCACCGGTGCCGTGCCCTGTCTCGCTGTGGCGGGACTGCAGAGCTGCAGGGCTCTGGCAGGCGACATGGCACAGCCACCTTGTGCGCCTGCACCTGGGCTCACCGCACCCCTGGGCATCTGGGGACTGCAAGTCTTCCCTGCATTGCTACAGGGTAAAGAGAACAGCAGCCAAAGCATAGCTGGTTCCTCACTGGCACCTTTCAAGGACAACATTTGCCCAATTGCTCCATAAAACACATCTGGTTGACTTGTACTTCCTCTTAAAATGGACAGGCATCAACTAAAAAATGGGTTAGTCTTGTCTGATCCTTCCAGTTTCAACGCTGGATACAGAACCTGCCGGTATCCCTTTTGCCAATCCCTCACTTAATTGTATTTGACTTTTAAGATAATTAGAAGTTAATCTTAACCCAGGAATTCTTTACTTTTCTGATAGGACTGCCAGGCAAATCAAGGACAGTCCAACAGTAAAGCGTGGTCAGCAGCTGTTTTGTTGAATCCCATGGTCAGGCTGGGGAAATCAGTATTTGCTGGAATGAGAAGCAACACTTCTGTACCTGACACATACAGTAAGATCAGCTAAGTGAAGAGTCTAGGAAGTGAACATCTGCCCTAGCTTAAGACAGCAAGTCTCAGCACTATTCATTTTTTTAAAAGTACACTCATATCATGTGCATGTTCCGAGATCTGCTGGTAATTTTTTTTTTTCTTCTTTCTCCCTTCTTTTCCTATGCATCTTGTAACTTCACAACACGGACCTTTCACCACAAACCCTCCATTTTCTCCTGTGCAGCCGCACTGAGAACTGCGGGCAACTTTAGTACTCTCCCTACTTTTGCATCCTCACCAAGTACCAGCTGTTCGCAGCCATGCTGCAGGAGAGCACTAGTGCAAAACCCAGCTCCAACCAAACAGCACGCTTTCATTGCCTTTTAGTGCCTTACCTTGCAGCATTGTTTGACCTTCATAAAGTCAAAGACTGCTCCCCATAGCATTGATCTTTATCTGATGAAAAAGTTCTTAAATGCTTTGCAACCTTTTGGGCTCCCTCCCTTTATATATATACCTCTCAAGTAAAGGGCAAGGAGGCAGATGTCCTTCAGCTTTCTTGGATACAGAGTTGTGTCTTGAGGCTCCATGTTCACAAGGATTCTCTGGTATCCAAAAGACACTATGTGCCTCTCAGCAGGGGGAATACAACCTTTTTCCATTACCCAGCTTTCTACATTCAAAGTCCTAACGATTAAACTGCTTCAAGACTTCTACCTCTCTGTTAAATGTTGCTGAAATGTGCCACCAAGTTCAAAAGCCATTAGAAGGGAGAACGACAGAGAGTGTGATTGCATCAGCCTCGTGTCATTAAGAAAACGGGTTGAAAAAACAGATGCACAACATGCACCACTAAGCACGTTACAGTCATTTCACAAAACATGTAGTTATTTATGAACTCAAAATTAAAAATTAAGCCATTAATCCTCCTATAATATGATTTCCAGTTCAAACTCCAGGTTTTAATTAATTTATTGCTGTCATGTGTGTACAATTCCTCCGAAGTTCATGAGGTTTACATGAATATGAGCATGAAATTAGAAACTAGTCCACTGATTCTAATATTTCAACTGAGTGAGAATTAATGTGTTTGACAACAACAAAAACCACAGCAGCCAGTACTTACATCTCTAGCCTTTTGCTTTTCTTCAGTTTTTCTGAGCATGCTGTTGCCATTTTCCAGCTGTTTCGGCTCTATTGGATCATATTTATTTCCACTTATGAAACTCCACTTTTGCTCTGAATGTGTCACCCCCACCACGAATTCTGGTATTTTACCTACCTCATAACATTTTTGCTCAACATTGTTGAGGAACTGAGTGAAACCCTTACAATAACAATACTGAATTCTACCTTTTACCATCATATTTTAAAATACTGTGTTTTTCAGATTGAGCTTTATAAGACTCCTTGATGTCTGTATAAATTTGGCAAACCCTGCCTACAAAGAAAGGCTAATAATGTTGCAAGTCAGAATCAGTACAAAAAGGCATTTGTTGGCCACATCTCATCAAGAGTTTCCTCACCATTTTTCAGAATTCTACAAACTCTGCTCATCGAAAACAAACAAGGAAAATTAAAAACTATTTTTTTATTCAAAGTGAGAACTATCTGTTCTATAAGCTGCTTCATGTATATGAGGGGGACAAGCACAAACAGCAGCAGCCAGCAGCTGAAGAAAACACCTCTTCTCAGTGTATTTCCTACCCTCCAGATTTCTCTGATGACCTGACTCAGGCTACTTCTCTTAAAAGTAGCTATGAAAATCACTAGCATAAGCATCTTTTCCCTCACATCCCCTTATGAGATCAGAAAACCCAAGAATACTGACCAGTCAAGGCAGAGATGTGAAGGAAACCTTTCAATGCCACTGCCCATACCTGTTTCGGTGGATAAATAAAAGTACAAGTTCCAGTCTGGTTATTCTAGCATCCCTTGGAAGTACTACATTGTCACAAGGGCAGCAGGCTATTTTCCT